TAAGACTGAGAAAAAGAGGAAAGATTTGAGGGAGCAAGTTCTCGAGGTGCTGGAAGGGGCTGGAATTGGAGTCCATGTGGGTCTGTTTGCATTGGATGATGGCATGAGGGTCACTCCTCTGAGATATGTGTGGTGTGCGTGTGTGTGTGCAGTGGTGGGTGATGGGCCACCAAGATGTGGGCAGATACAATTAGGCATGTGGGTAAGGAACGAGGATGTTGATGGAGCCTACTCATGCTGGCTTCTGTCCTCTCTGCAAAACCGCAAGCAATGCCATCTTCTTGGAGCGAAGGGGTTGAGTGTTTGGTTTAAAGTCTGCACCAGGAGGTAAAGCCATTGTGGGGAAACAGACTCTGCACAGGCCACACCCGACAGAACTGGCTAGAAATCAATCACAGTCAATCATTCACCAACCTGCAGGTGTATGAAAGCTTTTTTAAAATTTCTTTTCCCTGACCATACTCAGCAGCTCAGGGGTTAAGAATAAAAGGTGGGTGTGGCGGACTGATCCATCCCCAGGGAGTTGTGTGTGTGCATGTGTGTGTGTGTACATGCATGTGTGTTTGTCTGAAAATTTCTTTTCCCTGACCATACTCAGCAGCTCAGGGGTTAAGAATAAAAGGTGGGTGTGGTGGACTGATCCATCCCCAGGGAGTTGTGTGTGTGCATGTGTGCGTGTGTACATGCATATGTGTTTGTCTGTCTGTGTGTGTGTGTGTATGAGACTGAGCTGCAAAGGTAGGTGAGGCCCAGGGTAAGAGAGCGGTTGGAGGGTGCACAATTGGGTTTGGACTGCATTGGTAAAGAAATACGACAGGCAGGGCTGATAGGTTCTTGGTGGCTGGGGAAATGGACATGAGTTTGCATGAGGGTGGGGTTTGTCTATTTGGCTCACCACTCTGCCCTCAGCTCCTAGAACAGTGTCGAGACCATAGCAAATGCTCAGTGAGCATCTGTGGACCCATGCACGAATGCATCGAGCGGTGCACGAGCAGCGCTGCAGTCAGCTGCAGCACTCTACAGCTGGGGTGACAATGGCGCACTTTGGCTCCTGAGGGCCAGCAGTGACTCAGCCCAGGGTGATGACAGGATGCAAGTGGACTGTGGAGTTTTCTTTATAGCAGAGGAAAGAGTGCAGGTTGACGCAGAACACCTTTCTGCTGGTGACAGCTGTGTTTGGAAAATGGGAAGATTTTCTCAAGTGGGACTAGCTCCTGGAAACTCCTGCTTTACCGTGTAAGACAGCCCTTCCTCACCCAGTGTGGAGTTTCCAACAGATCCTCTGTATCCTGTGGGGGGCGCTCTGCCCATGGAGATCTGGGTTGGGTAGTGCTGGACCAGGGCTCTCCACAGTGCCCCTGTTACCTGGTGCAGGGGTGCACCTGTTCCTAACACCATCTTTACAGATGGATGCTGGTTCTGTAGATGCAGTCATGGGTGGGACACAAAGTGGCCCCGGGGTGTCACTTTACTGTGGCTGTCTCTGTCCCTGCCTGCACAGGGAGCAACAGCATCTCTGCCGAGCAGTTAGGGTGTCACTTTTCAATTGTCTTGTAGGGGGAAGGGCATGAGGTTTGGAGTCAGACCCAACAGACCCCATACCTTATTAGACATGCTTTAAGGGTTGTTGTGAAGATTAACAATCACACTTAATAATGGATAGGTGCTTAATAATGAGTAGTTTTCTCCAAACTTTTTCCTTTTTAGGTAACCACTAAGATCCTGAAGCCACCTATGATCATTCCTGGTGATTGGACTGCTGAGGAGTTGGAGGGACCAGGTCCCTCTCAGGCTAAATAGCTGGTCACTGAAGGCGGGTTGTCAGCCATCCACCCTGACATTCTGAAAATGTCTTGCAGCAAGATCCCAGCTTCAGACCCTCTGCTGAGCAAATGCATGTGAGAGGAGACTCACTGTGGCTTAGGAGAGGAGCTGAATTCTATGAATTCAACTTCATGTTATCTAATACATTTGGCTCTTATTTTTTTTCTAATCTGTTGAATGGAGGCAATAATTCAGCCCATACTCTTACAGATGTTTTGAATATGCATTACAGCAAAAGGGTATATAAATGTTAAATAACAGCCCAAACTCAGATACTCAGGGACACAGTGTTAATAGGTCCACTCTGTGAGTTCCTAAAACTTGGCTTAAGGCAGATCATCTTTTTCATGGTCCTCTTTCATTAGGTGGTTTCATTCTGCTTTGCCATGAAGGCTAAGTGTATCTGTGTTATATGGATTGAATACATAGATGTTTCCACTAAAGGAGAAGGCTATGAGGGCACGAGGGTCAGACTGTGTCAAGATACGCACGTGTGATGGCTGATTCTCGAGGCTGGCAGAGCCCAGCTGAGCTTTTGTTTAGAAAGGTCAGTGTGCACACCCAGGGAAAGCACCCAGCTGGACAGAGCTCTTTCATGCACTAAAGAATATTTCAAGTTCGTGGTCTTTGATGAAGATAATTTATCTGGCCACTTCTTTGGAGAAAATTGCCTGAGGGCATCGTTAGAAAGCCACCAAGTTAAGTAGAGAATTCTTCCCAGGCTGCAAATCAAGGTAAAAATGTAGAATTCACCTATGTGGAGAATCTGCCTCCTCTCTTGGAGAAAACAGACAATTGGTGTTTTGTTATGGTGCTTCTTGGCTAGCTGAAAAGTGGGAACTCAGGATAGTGAGGGTGGCGGGATCCTCTGTGGCTAGTAACCAAGGTGACACCGACCCAGGCGGGCTGCTGCCATAGTCCAAGTGACAGTAAATGAGAGTCTGAGTTCAAGTAAGAAAGGGGACAGGACAGCACAGAGAGAGATTCTGGAAATAGCAGCAGAGAATTAACGCACATAAAAATTCAAGGAAGAGGAAAGAGGGAAAGACTTTAAGACAAATAGCCCATAAGATTGAATGGATAATGATGTCACAGATTTGATGGGACCTTAGAAGATTTGGGGAGAAGGGAGGAGGAGTGGGAAGATAATGAATTTGCCTTTGTACTTGCTAAGTTTGAAGTACTCAGGTGGGGCTGTCCAGGAGGCAACTAGAAATAGAAAACCTGACACCCTCCAGAAAGACCAGCTTTCCCAGGAGCTGGAGTAGGAGACGCAGTATTCTGCTAGGTGGCATGTATAAAGAAATGGAGGAGAGTGACTGTCCCTAAATGTGGATTTGGAGATATTTTTCTAATGAGTGTTCTGTGAAGTTCCTGCTGCAGTCAACTAGAAAAACGGGTGGCTGATGGCAGAAATGTCATTTTTGGCTATGAATGAGAAGTGGCCATAATATTTGAGTCTTTGGCCAACCCATTTCCCAATTCTCTCTATTGATATCACCTGTTATACCTCTGCAGTTCTCTGTTACCTGGTTTTGTGCACAGAACACAGCTGGAGTGATTTAGAATGATCTGCATGTTCTCAGATATGAGAATCTTCAATTGAGGACCATCAATCTCAGGGTACCCCGAGCTTTCCTACAAGTGCTTGGTTCCCCAAACCTACAAATAGCTCCTAACAGACACTTGGATAAAGCAAGTAATATGCAACCACATCCAATATGGTTGGTATGTTCTTCTTAGTTAATGTTGGCAAAAAAAAAAAAAAAGCCCCAGGAAGAGGGGAGAGCCTGGTATCTGGTAAGTGGACTTATCAACACCTCTGATTATAGGTTAATGAACTGCTTCAATTCAACTTGAGTCTTGACGGATGCCACCTGCCCCTCCCGGTGGAATTGTTACTCTTCGCTTTATATGGTTACTTTTCCATTAACTGAGAGACTGTAGACACCATTAGAGAGAATATGATATTGAAATCATTCCTATCAGTAATGGAAATAGCTAAGATTAGCTCTGATACGTTCACAGCTGTTAAACAAATCAAAAAGGCATTAAATGCAAGTTTAAATTTACTCTGCCAGCTGAGGTAAAGACACATACTCCAGCCTGTTAAATGCACCCTTTAACTCTTATTTGAGGCTCTTCTAATGCTTTTTGTGGTATCAGGATGTCTACTGTGGAAACTACATACCTGACTGTGCTCTTCAGAAGAACTGAATTGCAAATCGTTTGTATCCTGCTCCTGAATTTCTGCTGGCATATCTTATAAGAACAGGGTGTAAGTATTGGGTGGAAGTGCTAGTGTCACGGAAAGATTTGAGGCATCAGACTTCATGCCTCTGCATGTGTTGCAATCAAGTATCTGAAGAAAGAGCCTGGTGTTCTCAGACTGGGTGCTCAGGGAGCTGCTGGATCTGGGGGCTGAGATTCCAATTTTGCTGCTGATTTGAACTTTGCCCCTGAACCCCTGACTTGCCCTGCTCTGGCTTCCAATAACCTTTTGCAAATAGAAGTGGTAAGTCCTGTGGACTTCACAAGACTATTGCAAATGTTAACTATTAGAAGCACTATATCACAAATAGAGTTCCCTTTACAATCACAAAAATATAATTCTTATAACAGGTTAATAAACAGAAAATACCCATTGTTTCTGATATTTTGTTATGCCTTATCTTCCCTTGCCAGGAAATACATTGACTTGTGGTTTGCTGCTGGGTTTCAACTACTATTTGGGATAAAATACATGAGTTTCAAGAGGTGCAATGGGCATTGTGATGGAAGAAAAGAAAACAGAGGCTTTAGTTATGGAGCTTCAAATTGCCACCAAAAAAAGAATCCCAGGGCACGTGCTATGGTAAGAGACTCAATTTAGTTTGACATATATGACCCCCTCCCCCCAAAAAAACAAAATAAAAAGTTTTAGTCTTCATTCCACATAAGCACCCTAGTGCAAGAGCACAAACATGTGTGTCCATGCACACACACCGACACACCTTCCACACTCATGCCCGTGTTTCCATCTGCTAGGAATGCAGCTGTACTATGACCTTTATCACTGGCAATGAACCAAGACAAACTTGATCTCCCTTTCCTTTGAATCACTCTTACCCTTCCAGACTTTTCTGACAAAGAAAACAAACAAAAAAAGCCCAAGTGTGGACAGCAGGTGTACGTACCTGACACAAAAGTATAAAACCACTGGTCCTGACTTTTTAGGGAAGTCATGTTCCAATACTCTTCGATCTAGTTGAAGCCAGTTTAAGTGTCCCCTGAGGAAAATAGAGACAAATTGGTTAGGGCTTTGGATTTTGCAGAAGTTTCTTGGGAAGAAGGTGTATGTGGAGTAGAACGTGCTGGATTGCAGATAAATGTGAATCTTTGCCTCACTGTTTGCTTTTCAACCTCTGAAGAAACCAAAGGAGACATCTGGGAAACAGTGCTACAGCGGAGGTACTGCGTCATGTGATGGGGGAGACCGGGAATCAGAAAGTCAAGGCTTTGAGACCTGCTCTGTTTTCTAGACTGTGCTGGAATGACAGTGTACTTGTAACTCTCCTTCCTGTCCCGGATTCCCCTTCCACCACACTCCTCCCACTGCCTTTTCTCCTGACCGACTCAAAACACACTTCAGAAACATGTTAGCAATCTTCCCAAGGTCTTGCTGGAAGCAGATGGGGTGAAAAGTGAAGCATAGACAGTTTCTTAAAAAATTGAACTTATACCAACCATGTGCCCTGGGCATTCTATTCCTACATATTTACCCAAGAAAAATGAAAGCACATGTCCACACAAAGAATTTTACACAAATGCCCATAGACACTTAATGGCCACTTCATAGACACTGTGCATGAACAGACACTTCACAGACACTGGAACAGCCCCAAACTTGCAATAACCCAAATGTTTATCAACAGGGGGATGAATAGACAAATGGTGATGTATTCACACCATGGAATACTACGCAGCCAGTAAAGAAAATGTACTATTGATGTGCAGCTAGTAAAGAGAATGTACTACTGATGTACATAGCAACGTGGAAGAATCTCAAGATAATTATGCAGAGTGAAAGAAACCAGACAGAAAAAGGAACAGACGGCAGATCAGTGGCTGCCTGGGGTGGGCGTGGGGAGCATGAAGGAGCATTTGGGAGTGATGGGTGAGTTCACTACCTCGACTGAGGTGATGGTTTCATGGGTGTGGACATATGTCCAAACTTATCATATTGTACACTTTAATATATGTAGTTTGTTACATGTCAATCACACCTCATTAAACCTATTTTAAAAAGTGAACCGCAGAGAAACGTGTTGACACAGAGTTACTTCTGCATTTCTTTCTTCTTTCCCTCCTTTCCTCCCTCCCTCCCTCTCTTTTTTTCTCCCATAAATATTAACTGAACTTCTTCTCTGTAAAAGCATCTGGAGATGCAGAAGTGAGCAAAACAGTATACTCTCATAAGGAGACAGACACTCAACAACTATCTCCACAAGTAATCACGTAGTTACTACGAGCAATAGGCCCATGAATTATGAGAACGCTAAAGGAGTTGAGCTAGTCTGAGGGTCTGAGAAGCACTTCCTGGTGTTTGAGCTGAGATCTGAAAAAAGAGCAGGCATTAGCTTGGCAAAGAGGAAGGGGAACCACTTTCTGGGCACAGGGATCAGCATGTGCAAAGGCCCTGGGGTGGGAAGGAACCAGCATCTTAGCATCATGTGAGTAGGAAGGGATGAGGCTGGAGAGGTCTTTGGAGGCCACGTTGTGGAGGTTGGTCTCTGAAGAGCAAGACAGGGCCACAGAACGACCGGCAGAGGAGTCCACTCTTTTCCCTTTCCCCTCCTCTTACTACTCAAGAGGTTAACTGGGGGACACAGAGTCTCATAATCACTTGACCCAGTACACTTGCATTGAGGAAACCAGACTGACTACACGCCATTTCCTCAGGTGACTGATGCTGGGCGGCTCCAATGTTTACAATGTCTATACATGCGCGAAAGGCTGGCACATATTCTGTGTATAATGAGAAGCGAAATCTGTCTGCATCATTGTATAAAAATGTTTGCTCCTCCAAGCACCTGCTTGCCTCCAACAAAAAAAGAAAACATGCTACAGGCTTCCCCCACTTCTTAAGACTTCATTCCAACTGCACCTTTTGCATAAGAAAAGAAAAATCCCTCTCAATGAAGTGCATGCCTGGGGCTCTAGGGATGACATTTGGATCTGTCTCAGACTAGCATCTACCCAAAGAATTCTGGCCTCTTTTTCCTCCTTCTAAGAACTTCAGGTTGAAAAATTTTTTTCCATTAACTTTACTTTTTTATTACCTTGCTCTGGATACAGGAAGTAAAATGGAC